TAGTTTAGTACTGGTTTGTGAGATAGTCACTACCCTTTGTGGATGATCAGTAAATCCTCCCCGGAAGTGTAACTAGAGTCTCCTGGAGGGAGAGCGCGGAATTTGTGAATAGATCTATTCGGGACTGACAATCCCACACCTTAACTGCTAGCTACAGTTAGGCGGCACGCCTGGGGTGACAAATTTCTGGATATCGTTTCGACGTCTGAAAACGTCAAGGAGGTCACGTTGTCGTATTAGTATGGTTACCGACTCACAACATGTATTAATATTAGCTTATTCACAGTTTGGGTTTAGAAACTATATCTTATACGAGATAGTGATCCCATGGTTTTGTTTCTAGATCTCTTTCGGGATAGTGATCCCATGGTATTATCAAACTATTTTATATCTAGTCCGGGATAGTGATCCCATGGTTTTGTAACTATATCATATACGGGATAGTGATCCCATGGTCTTTAATCTATATCTATTACGGGATAGTAATCCCATGGTTTTGTATCTATAACTTGTGCGGGATGTCTTTCCCCATGGTCTTTAACTATATCTTATACGGGATAGTGATCCCATGGTTTTGTATCTATATCTTATACGGGATAGTGATCCCATGGTTTTCCAAATCTGTATCTTATCCGGGATAGTGATCCCATGGTTTTCAATCTTTATTTCCATATATACATCAACTTATCTCGTGTCTAGTCCGGGATGATAGTCCCATGATCTTAAATCTGTACATTCATATGTGTCAAACTACTTTATATCTCTTTCGGGATAGTGATCCCAAGATTTTCATTATATAGTTTTGTGTGTTAAACTATACTTTGTGATATACAACTGATCTTACAATTAGGAAAATATGGGATTTTCCTGGGGTAAAATACAACACATAATCGAATTGGTAACAAATGACAACTAAACCAACTTCACATAAGAAAATATGGGATTTTCTTGGATAACAAATCTTTTCGGAAACTAAAGGAAATCGATACATTTTCATAAAACAAAACCGCTTATGAACTCACCAGCTTTATGCTGATTTTCAAACCGCTTGTATTCTCAGGTCCAAGTTAGACAGGTACCCGGTGATCTCTTTTGATGAAGACGGAGTGCGTGAAGACTCGTCTCAACTTTTGTTAATATGATGCATATGTATATTTGTATAACTTTACTTTTGAAACAAATGTAAACTTTCATATATATATATATATATATATATATATATATATATATATATATATATATTATATATATATATATATATATATATATATATTATATATATATATATGTAATGTAATGTTTGTTTACTGTGATTACTATGTACATCGGATTTGATGCACAATGTGGTAGTCCACCTCGAAATGTTTCCGCCTTTGATTTTCGGGGTGTGACATAAGTGTCAGTTCGGGGCTTGAATACATTCGAGGTTCCTATGTAATATAAAGAGATACATAATTGTATCTAATTAGACTTTGACCTACCAATTAAGTAATACAATACACTCCGAGGCGCGAAAACACCTTGTATCAAGTGTTAGGAGTGATCCTGGTTGCATCTAAGGAGGTGTAAGGCCTAGATATGGAGTTTTCTCTTCAAGAGTAAACTCCTAAGGGAGTTTTCGGCCCAATGACCATATCCCCATAAGTTTACATCTGTAAACTCATGGGTGGTGTGTTCTTAGATGCTTAAAGGTCTTACAACATTAGAGGAATTAGGCTAGGTTTAGTTCTAAGCAATGGAAGTGATTGGATCAACAAATGACCATTTTAAGGAGTTTATGGTTGTAAACTAGGAGTTTATGGCCGTAAACTCTCACATGCACTTTCCTTTTGTGTTTTGGTGATCGTAGGTTAAGCGCAAGTGATTCTAGTCCAATGTACAAGCCATGGAAGGAAGTTAGGGCACCATTTGACCACTTTAGAGGAGTTTACGGCCCATGAACCATTCCTTGGGGGGTTTACGGCTGTAATCTACTAAGGAGGTGGTTTTGTTCATGTTTAAGGTCCCTAACACAATGGTGGTTGGTTCTGGACATTATTCCAAGGCATAGGAGGTGTTTAAGGGGCATATTAACACCTTAAATGGTTTTTACGGCCTTAGAAGGGATGGTTACGGTCCAAGAATGATCTTGGGCCGTAAACTCATGTTTACTCCCAATTTTACAAGTTTTTGGTGTTCTATGTTCGTACATGTAAGCCCCTAAGTCATAGCTAAGCACCAGAAGTAATTTGGAAGGGTTTTGGGGCTTCAAAACCCCATTTATATGTTTTTGCGGTTTGGGATTGTTCATGGGCCGTAAAAACATGTCTTTGGTCCTTTTGGATGATTTAGACATGGATTTGAATGTTAATCAAGCTACACTATTAACTAGGATGGATTACTTACCAAATTGGAGCTTGAAATGGGTGTTTTTGGATCAAAACTTGGATTGTAGAGCGAGAGTAGTGAGAGAGAGTGAAAAAGCTTCAAATGAAGTCGACTCACCCTTATATAGGGTTTGAGTTTGAGGCCCGGTAGAAATCTACCCGATATTGACGTTAAACGGGGCTTATGGTCGTACCTGGTTAAGTTGTCGTAACCCGACGTGGTCGTAATTAAAAATTTTCCAAATGAATATCGAAGGTGTTTTCAGGTGTTTTGTAATGTGTTTGGACACTCACGAAGCCATAATAAAAGTCTCAATTTTATTAACTTAATCCAAATTTAACGAAAAAATTGAAATACAAACGGGTTTTATTAACGGGAACGGGTTACAGTGACGGAAAAAATTTCGGATTGTTACACTATGTTTGTAAATAACAACTGCATGTAGGGGTGTCAACCCCGTATAGATCTATACATATATTTCCCATTCACTTAAGATTTATGATTATAGGTTGATGATTAGTTATAGTTTAATTAGCTAAGTGATTAATAGGTGTCTTTATTAACATATGAGAGATTTGGCCATAGTAACGTTTGGGCATAATATTATCCTAAAGATTTGGGAAGATTAACTATTAGGCATAATATTATCCTAAATATGTGTGCAATATAGCAATTAGTTATAATATTATCCATTACATTTGGGAAGAGTAGCTACAAGACATTATATTATCCTATTGATTTGAGTATATCAATTTTACATAAAAAATTATGAAATAATATCTAATGGTAATTTTTACAAATCAATAATGTATTAGTTATCATGTATCCCTCCATGCAGAAAACATTTAAATACATAAAAATGGGGCAGTGAACGCACTTTCAAAGCGTGCTTTTTGAACTCGAGGCTTCACTTCGAGAAGCTCAGTGGCTCGGGATCACCCGGGAGAGGGATAGCTCTAAAGTAGAGAGAGAGAGAGAGACACACACACACAGAGAGAGAGAGAGAGAGAGTTGATTTGGGTGTGGAATTGATAGGGTCGGACCTTCTATTTATATTAAGGTTTTTAGGGTGCATACAACGCTTCTGTAGGTGCATATTGTGCACCAGCGCATTGGCTCCAGCCATAGGTTAACACGTGTTACTCCCTTGTTCGTCACGTCTCCCAAATCATAGCGAATTCGATCGTCAGTCATGTGCGACGTGCGTGACATTGGCTCAGTTTTCTTGATCTTGGAATTATGTATCTTCAGCATATGAGCTTTGTTTTTTTCATTCTTTATACCCACATAAATTTCTCGACAAGCTCTACAACTTTCTTTAGTTTATTTTGTTTGATTCCAAATTTCTCGACAAGCTCTACAACTTCTGTAGGACATACTTTTCTTATAGGGAGGGTATCCTAAATGATTTTACAAAAATCATAACTCCTTAATGTGGAATCCAATTTTGGCATTCTTTGTCTTATTGGTTTTGTAACAAGGTGTACTTCGATCCTCCCATACACAGTTTTAGCTAATACCCAACTGATTTTCTTTTAACTTTTAGGATATGTTATCATCCATGAAATAATGTAACTTTTTATTCACTTATTTTATAGTTTACGATTGATTTGACTAACTTTTATTACATGCTAGAATAAGAAATCGTTCATATTTTCCATAGATTCATATATTTAGTCTATTATATGCATCGTTTATTATTGTAGATTCCCATTATCTATGACGATTAGCACTAAGAATGAACAAAAGAACACAGAAGAGTAACACAAATCTTTTTCACTAAGAAAATGTTCTCACCAAGAGAGCAAGCACTAAGCTCAATGGTTCAATAATCAACTAATAAATACGAACCCTAATACATATAGAAAACTAATACGATGTGAATTCCTACAAATAAAGGATATCACCTAAGCTAGGATAATAATAATGTATATATGATATCACTAAGATATCTGATCTACTAATTAACTATGTATATTCTATAATCACAAAATATTACATGAAATATACATATCATGCTAACACAACTTTCCAAACTTAAATTCACGTTGGTTCTTGGGAGACGATGGTGCGGATTGAGTGAGCATGATTGTTTACATCTTCAAATAGGCTTGACCTTACAGACTCCTCCAATCTGATGATGTCAAAACCCAAAATCTTCTTCTTTTAAATGATGGTAAAAATCATCAACATCTTCTTCACCTTCTTCTTGACCTAGAAATAATCAGAAATAAAAAGCTGTTTCATTCTTTTGTTCATCTCAAAAGTGATAAAAGTGATAGTTTTTTTTGCAAGTTTTGCATAGCATAGTCACATAATTTTGAGATAAACCAAATGCTCGGTGGTTGCATTGACAAGATCATTTGAACGCTGGAAGCACATATATTTAGATTAATCCATGTAAAAAATGCCATGCTCTGGTTGAAGAATGAACATGTGTTAAACAGGATGAACACCCACTTACAAAGAGTTGTCAATGAATTTTGTTCCACAAAGATGAAGAAATCTGACAGCTTTAAAGGTTCTCTTCAAAGGCACTGAAGTAGACGCCAAGGATGAGGAAGGTTTATTTGAGGTCTTGGGCAATAAGTCAAGATCATTAACCTTTGTGATAAGTCTTTCAAGTATGAGTCTCAATCCCTCAACATATGTTCCCTCTGCTTGTTAACCAACTCTACAATCTGCAACCACTCTATGTACCTAAATTTCACTAAATCATAGGAGGATAAGACCTTATTGTATTGTTCAACAACTTCATCCTTGTTACCACGCCTTGTGATATACACTGTAAGTATTCTTTCAGTTTTAGGATTAGTGCATCTCACTTTGACCATAGCATCATGGTCACTTCTACATGTTAGCACATATCTAAACCTGCTCCGTTCAAGTCTGGATATTGCATTTTCGTGGGCCACTTTCTCCTTTGACATTTTGATGATGAACTTGTTCAGGCTCTCGATCTGATTGATCATTGAAACAATAGCAATCAACTTCTCTTGAATATTATTGGAGTCTTTTCTGGAAAATATTTGATTTGAGGAATAGATGTTGTATAGCCTGGAAAACTCTCTAGCTTCTTCAAGAGATACACCCCATGCTTTTTCCATTTTAGTAACAGTAAGATCCTTGCGTTTCCTTTTGGAAGGACCAACATCAGGAGCAGTTTTTTCTTTTTGCCTCTTTATCAGAGGAATGTCATCTTCATTAGAGTCGAAGTCACTTGGTTCCCCTTGAGGGACATGATGCTCCCCATCAACATCAACACCAGTAGTATCAATGTCAGGATACACTGTATGAAGAGGATGCACATCATAAAGGACAAGTTTGTACAATAGACTTCATCTTCAATATCTGATTGGGCAGGAGTGACAGGAATGTTCTTAGCATTAACCTCATTTTCAGCGACATTAGTAGAAGTGTCACTAGTAAAATCCTTCACTAAATTCTCCCCCTTATGGCATCTTTATGTTGAGTGTAGGGAATTATGACAAGTGCTAGCATTTGATTGTGAGGAGCAGTATACAGAGGAGGACTTTTACTAGGTGCAAGATTGTATTTAGGATTACGTGAAGGTAGAGGAGGTGGAAGAGGAAGCATGTAGGTGGAATGACTATTATATTGAGGAGCGCCTTTAGAACCAGGAGTAGGTTGTTGAATATCCCCTGGTGGAGACTGATAACCATATTTAGTTTCAGTTTCAGTTTGTATACTATACGCTTTATTTCAGTGACATCGGTTTCAACTGAAGTTAGACACTAACTCATGTTGGAAGTGGGACGAGATAGAGACTCTAACGTAGAGAGAGACTTCCCTTGAAAAATATTTGAAACTTGACAAAAAACTATCCAGTTTGTAATAGCTCCCCGTGAACAGTAGTATGTGTGGGAAAAATATGTCGGATAGGAGGACACTGTTATTTCTAAGTAGGTGTTGTAAAATCACATTGGACCTATGGAGCTTCATGAGTGCGAAATAGACAAGTTCGAATATGACCAAGAGAGGGTGATCTTGATCATATGGAGGAGTCATAGAGATATAATTAGTGTCAGCATCATTACCTTGCTGAGCTGGACGAGTTTTAGGAAAAATCTCTTATTCTTCTTCTAATGACGGAGAAGACTCAAACCGAATGTGTTTGTTTGTTTGTCTTTATTTGATTCATTGAATTCGTAAGTTCACTTGATCTTCTTGATCCTAATAAATAGGAACCGTTTCTGTATCTTCACCATTGTACTTGAAATTACTGTCAGTATCAGGATTCTCATTGGCAGCGTCAATGTCTTCACCAGATTGAGATTTCCTCTTATTGTCAGCTTGTTTATCTTCATATTCTTGATCTAAAACTCGGTTCTCATCTTCCATATCTTCTTCCTATGATGTAACAATCGGTGAAATATATGACAATCTTTCACTCTTGTATGGCGCATTAATCCACTTCTACATTTCCTTTGTAATTCTCCGTTAGTCATTAGGAATCTAGTTGAACAAATTTGACGAGGTGAAGGAATGAAGCTAGTCTTCAACTTGAACATCATCATAACTAGTACTAAGGTACTGGAGAATCAGTGCAAACTATTGAGGATATGGAACATAGGGGGTCTTTTAGTTCCTCCAATAATTTTAGTTGTTTGATGATATAGAATAGAATGTGCTGTTCAAAGGAATTCATCTAATCAAGACTCATTGTCTTGTGAGTAAGGCATTTACCAAGAACGCATGTGAGAAACTTATATGTATTGGGAAGATGCACATGAAGAACATTATGGTTTCCTTGTTTCATAAAATAGTACTCCAATTTTTCAAGACAACGCGACATTTTTCCATAGAGGGAAGAAAAAAGTATTCATCTTGAATTGGAAGACATAAGGCTCTTCAAATATATATTACAACATTAGGATAATAGGCTCTCTATCTCTTATTGTGCCAACTGATGGATTTTGAGCATTCTAACACTTCCTAAGTGTACATGCAACCCTAATAACCTTGAATCTATGTTTTCTCTATATACATGCAAATTTCTTTTTCAAGGTTATTTCTAACTAGCATGGCATGGGGATTACATAAAACATAAAGAACTAGTAGAAATACATACCTTGTTGTTGCTTGGATTCCTTCAAGACTTTGTGAGCCTAGCACCCCAAATGTTGTTGCTTCACACAACACCACAAAACTTGGAATAACTTGAGAGAATACTTGTAGCACTCAAAATCGGTTATGCCCTCTCTAGTAACCTCTAGGTCTGATTTTACTAGCCAAAGGGTTCCTTTTATAGTGGTGTCACAATTAGGGTTTCATTAAGAAGACCCATAATTATCATGACTCTTCATTTCTCATGACCCATGGGTTTGTAACTCCCATGGACTATCCATGGAGCTCCAAATGGTTACATCCATAACCCATAAACCATGGATCATTAATCCACCATAAAAGAATTGATGATTGTCATAATCAACCCTTATATATTTAATTAGTCTCACTTTGATCACCAAATTAATACTAGATTAATACTTGATCAAATACTAATTAAATAATACTATTATTAATATATTAGAACTTATAATATATTAATAATCATAAGTGCCTTATTCTCTCATTTAGTCTATCCAAGTATTGCAATGCCATGCAACCCAAATGGACCATGCCGGGTCGGGTCAAGTTCATACCAAATAAAGTTATGGACTTAGACACTATATCCAACAGTCTCCCACTTGGATAAGTCTAATAACTATATTTGCAAATATGACTTCAAAACCCGACTAGCAATCGTAGCTCTTTCAAAGTCTCTCGGAACTGAGATGATGATGATACGCCATTTAAGATAAGTGATCATATAATCCTCTGCTCTCATGATATCAGCCGGACAAACACATGGAACATGGTCTTACTTATTGTCCAGCATTTGTTTCTCGATCTCCGATTTGTTTCGACATAGAACTAAATTGAACACATCAATTAGGTTCTGACCGGGCCCGGTACATGGGTCAAAACCAAATCATCGAGGGGCCCAGATATCGCTTCTATTTCTAGAAGGAACAGATAAACTTCGACTGATATGCTTGTACTAACTACTTGTTGAATTACTCACAAAGGCACGTTTTATAACATCGAGTTACCAATGCGTTTTCGTACAATCAATGAATAACCAATTCATAGTCAACAACTCATATCTCTAGGTTTGAAGATTTATATGATATTACCGTCTCACGATCACTCGAGATAAATTCCATGAAGTGATACAAGTGAGCGTGGGTTGAATCCAATACTCAGCCCTTATGAGTACTCATGAATGTTGTAGCAACCATTGCATTGTCCAAAGCACTTTAGACAAATCGTACAAGCCAAATTCATGACAGTCTTAAATCAATACTTACTTCCAAAGTTTGACTGACTGTGGATGGTTTGAATAATATGATATATACCATAACATAATTATTCTGGAAGTAAAAACATGCAAATTTGAAACATAGTAAACAATCAACATAAGATAGTAACACCTTACTCATAAATAAATAACAACTTTTATTTATCATCAAATGTCAATTACATTTTACAAGTTTCAGGAATCTAATTATTGAAACTAATATCATCCTTCAGCCCAATGCGCCTTGCATGCTGTAAATGCTTAACCCTGCTCAGTCCCTTCGTGAGGGGATCTGTCGGGTTCTCATTTGATGATACCCTCTTTGCCACGAGGAGTCCTTCTTCTATTCTATGTCTGATGAAATGATTTTCTGTCAATGTGCCTAGATCTCCCGTGATCTCTTGGTTCTTTCGCCAAAGCAACCGCACTTTCACTGTCACAGAAAATTTCCATTGGCTCCTTTATAGCTGGTACAACTCCAAGGTCTCCGATGAAGTTCTTTAGCCATATCGCCTCTTTTGCTGCCTCGCTTGCTGCTATGTACTCTGATTCACAAGTCGAATCAGCTACTGTCTCCTGCTTGGAACTTTTCCAAGTAATGGCTCCTCCATTTAGGATAAAGACCCAGCCTGACTGAGAGCGAAAATTATCCCTATCAGTTTGAAAGCTAGCATCACTATATCCTTCCACTCTCAAGTCATCACTGCCTCCGAGGGTAAGGACCCAGTCCTTAGTCCTCCAAATACTTGAGAATGTTCTTTACCGCTGTCCAGTGTGCCTTGCCAGGGTTCCCTTGATATCTACTGACCATGCTCAAAGCAAAGGCCACATCAGGGCGAGTACAAGTCATAGCATACATGATCGAGCCCACAGCGGAAGCATATGGTATCTGACTCATTTCAGCTATCTCAGCCTCTGTACTCGGACTCTGAGTCTTACTTAGCTTGACATTACTCTGGATTGGTAACTCTCCTTTCTTGGAATCTTGCATACTGAACCTCTTCAGTACCTTATCCACATAAGTACTTTGACTAAGTCCAATTAGTCTCTTACTCCTATCTCTCAATATCCTTATCCCTAGGATATAGGCAGCTTCCCCAAGGTCCTTCATAGCAAAACACTTCCCAAGCCAGGCCTTAACCTCCTGCAAAGTTGGGATGTCGTTTCCTATGAGAAGTATGTCATCCACATACAACACCAAGAAGCTAACTATGCTCCCACTAGCCCTGACATATACACAAGACTCATCCTCACTCCTAGAAAAGCCAAACTCTTTGACTTTCTCATCAAAGCAAAGATTCCACCTGCGAGATGCTTGTTTCAATCCATAAATGGATTTTTCAAGCTTACACACTCTATTAGGGTACTTTAGATTGACAAAACCCTCTGGCTGATCCATGTAAACATCCTCAGCCAACTTCCCATTAAGGAAAGCGGTTTTGACATCCATTTGCCATATTTCATAGTCATGAAATGCAGCTATGGCTAACAACACTCTAATAGACTTAATCTTGGCCACTGGTGAGAAGGTCTCATCATAGTCAACTCCCGGAGTTTGAGTAAAGCCCTTCGCAACCAGTCGCGCTTTATAAGTGTGTACTTTCCCATCCATGTCGGTCTTCTTCTTGAAGATCCATTTGCACCCAACTGTCTTACGACCTGGTACATTGTCAACCAAGTTCCAAACTTGATTGTCATACATGGACTGAATCTCGCTGTCCATAGCCTCCTTCCATTTCGCAGACTCAGGGCCTGCCATGGCTTCCTTATAATTATTAGGTTCATCCAAATCTATCAGTGTACTATCACTGATAAATGTATCACCTTCAGTGGTGATGTGATAACCATAATAAAATTCAGGTGTGTTCCTCACCCTAGTGGAACGTCTTGGAGGTACAGACTCGTCTATCGGCTCAACAGGAGTTTCCTTCTCAGGTTGGCTGACAGTATTTGAGGTTCCTTCACCACTTGACTCTTGAAGCTCTTCAAGGTCAATTTGCCTCCCACTGTCCCCTTGGCTTATGAATTCTCTCTCACGAAAGACTCCTCTTCTTGCTACAAAGACCACATTATCACTGGGTCTGTAGAAGAGGTAACCAAAGGATCTCTGTGGGTAGCCGATGAAAATACACCTCTCGCTTCGGGGCTCAAGCTTGTCATGAGTCTCACGCCTCACAAAAGCTTCACAACCCCAAATCTTGATGTGGTCCAAATTGGGCACTTTCCCAGTCCACATCTCGTGAGGTGTTTTGGCAACCTTTTTAGTAGGGACTAGATTAAGGATATGGGCGGCAGTCTCTAAGGCATACCCCCAGAAAGAGATTGGTAACGAAGCTCGACTCATCATGGAACGAACCATATCTAGCAGGGTTCGATTGCGCCTCTCAGCCACACCATTCAACTGTGGTGTCCTGGGAGGTGTCAATTGTGAGACAATCCCACATTCCTTAAGATAGTCAAGGAACTCAATGCTAAGATACTCTCCTCCCCGATCGGATCGGAGCATCTTGATGTTCCTGCCCAATTGATTCTCAACTTCCTGCTTAAACTCTTTGAACTTTTCAAAGGTTTCTGACTTATGCTTGATTAAGTAAATATATCCATATCTACTGTAATCATCAGTAAAAGTCACATAATAACGATTAGCATCTCTTGTAGCAACTCTGAAGGGCCCACACACATCCGTGTGTACAAGGTCCAACAAACCTTCACCCCTATCACAAGTACCTGTGAAGGGTGACTTTGTCATTTTTCCAAGTAAACAAGACTCGCAACTATCATCTGACTTGAGGTCAAACGATTCCAAGACTCCAGCCTTTTGGAGTTGGCCTATGCGCTTCTTGCTAACATGTCCAAGACGACAATGCCACAAAGATGCTTTATCCAAGCTATCAGAAGAATCAATATACAACACATTATTTCCTAGATTGTCTACAACATTCACGGCTTCATATACACCATCACAAGGTATTGCTTTAAAGTAAAATACATCATTGTAATA